CGAGGTAAATTAAGTTTATTGGGTATTTTTAAATTGTGAGGTTATAGAAATCATAACAATATAATTTGGTCGGCAACGACTTGTTGGTACACTGCATAGGAAACTTTCATTAAATGTTTGTGCATGTAGACTATTAATATCAGATGGAAGATAGTGTCTATTTGATGCATGTACTCTTCGATACTGAGAAATTGTTGGACCAAATGAAGATATGTGATCAACAATTAGTGTCTGGATTTGTCTAATATTTATTTAATGGTATATAATGGGTGATGTGAATAAAATCAAGCATTTCCTAACTTAGCATATACTAGGAAAAACACTACACCAAAGCTAGTGCTATCCGGAAAAGTGCAAGCAGAAGCTACGGGTAGCATATGTTAACCTATAAGCACTTACTAGGTTCACGTCACGACAGACTCCCTTTCACTAATCCCTGTGCTTTATGATTTCATGCACTCGGCTCTTGTCACGACAGGTCAGTGAAGTATGTGTTTTGTTGGTCAGTGTTACAGTTGTATCTACATATATCGGTACGATGGCATCCTAAGAGGACGACCGTGATAGTAACGACGAGAAAGACAAAAAGACTGATTGCTCATTGTTTGTAAGATTGTTGAAAGACCACATTATATTACAAGATAAATCAAAAACACCGTCAGTGATAAAATCTAAGACAGAAGCATGGTCTATTTTCAGTGCTGAGTATTCTTCTTTAATCGGGAAACTGTTCACTGTAATACAACTAAAGAAAGTATTGCAGAACATAAAAACTACTATAAAAAAGACGACAGATATAAAAGCTACCGAAACTTAAATTGAAAAAATGGGAAACAACTAATAGATCAAAACAATCCAGTATATCACAAAATCCCAGGAAATATTTCGGTTGGCACTGGCCTATCCACTGCAGAATACAAATGTAAATCGATACATGAAGGTGCTGATCGTGTGAAACAGAAAATAAGGAAAAGCACAAACATGGTAGCAAATTACGAAAGTCAGGAAACTATGGACTTGTCCACCACACAACTACAACGAGTTGTATTGTTACAGCAATTCCAAATTAACAGAATAAGACTGGAGAGAGGGAAAATGCTCTCTCAAAAACAAAAGAACGAATTTTTGGAAACGTCAAATCAAACTGTTTTAGGATCGGATAACTTGTATCTTATTTAAGATTTGTAAACTGTGGATTTTTTGATTTCATTTTGCTTTGTTTTCTGGTATTGACTGAAGACTAAAAATAGTTTTGTTTGTTAAAAAAAAAAAGTTGAAATCTATACTTTTTATACCTATTGTATACCTACTTCAAAATAAATAAAAAATGAAAACCCACAAAACATTTTCGATATTTTGTTTACAGAAAAATGAATTTATTCCATTTGGCTTTTCTACACTGTATGTGTATAATAGTGTGTCTAAAAATTTATAATACATACAACATTAGGTATTTTATATAAAGCCACATATATGAACGATTTAAATTTTATTTAATCTACTTTATAAAGAAATAGCACAAAGTTTACAAAAAGGATGGCATACTCAAAACTTTCATGTCGAAACTCTTTATGTTGATTGTTTATGGTATATTGAGTAATTGCATCATAACAGAGCGTTTGCCTTTGCTTCTCGTGCTTAGCATTTTCGTAGTGAACCTCAACCATTTCGTTGTTTTCTTCATCAGGGATAATATTTTAGTCCCCATAGTCAAAGTCATCGTTCAGATGCTTTGCTATGTTATGCAGAACAGCACAACTTATTATTACTTTTGGTACGTTGTTCAAAGCAATTCGAACACAGTTTTCAAGAATAGGAAATCTCTTTTTTAACTGACCAAAATATCTTTCCATTATCACTGTCTCCCTGAAATGTATTAGGTTGAAGCGCCTTTGTTAACGGATACGAGGAGGCTTGTAGGGTGTTATTAACCAAGGATCCCCTAAAAGACATACAGTTCCATCATTACGGTACATGATATCCCTGATGGGACTCGTTCTCCACACTCTTCCGTCATGAACACTGCCGGGCCAGTCGGCACTTATACTTGTAAAATGTTCCAGGGCATTACATGTAGCCTGTACATTAATACTGGGATAAACCGTGCGACACATATATTCATTTCCATGTCAAACCAGTCCTGGTTTAAGTATTTCAACATGAGTGCAATCAAGTTCACCTATCACAGTTGATAAACGAAAGTCTTTTCCACAAAACCTTCGTTCATTTCAGCTGCCGTAGCCGGAAAACGGGTCCAGTTGCCTGATTGAACAACTATACGATTCATAACATGCTTTATAGACGCCTAGATCATCTCCTATACCCGATTGAAAACCAGGGTCGCTCACAAACCTTAAAAATATTTCCACTTGTTGCCTTCGAGAAATACCTCCACCACGTGTATCGGTTTCGAGAAGGAATTCAGCCGCTAAAAAGTCTATACTCCGACTTTCAAATCTGAAGAGTCCGATTTCCCTACGAACACTGTAAATTTTACGTCTACGGATGGGCATAAATTTCGCCATTTTTAAAAACAAACCACCAATTTGAAATTGTTCTCGTAGAAAAATCTAGACAAAGTGAAGTTTACCCCCGATCACACTTATAAATCTCAGCAAAAGCTATAGAAAAAAACCAGCTGAAGTTTTTATTGACCTCAATATTTAAGCAAAAGCTAGACATGAGGAAAAATCTAGAACTATCTAGCACATGCTAACTAAATTTATTTACTCCAAATCTAGTATTTGCTTATAAATAGTCTAGTTTTACCAAATACTTGGTTTTATTCACACCGCCCAATATATTACATTGATTTCACTAAAATTCAAGTAAGAAAACGAAACCTAGGATAAACAGCATAACAGAAATACATATAGACCGACTTTTTTAAAAGTGAAATAATCTCAGTGTTTGATATTTTTAATCTTAGATTTTCTTAGTGGGCCTCGATAGGAGGCCTATTTTTGAGTTATGGATGATTTTTTGGAAGCTGCAGTTCTAGGTGAACTTAGGGCGGGTTGTAACTCGTCTAGTTAACCTTTGGCCAGTGGTTAAGATTGGTTCAGCCGTTGTAACACAGATTATTCACCGACCGGTTAACTATTGAAATTGTTACCATCTGATTTTGGAAGGTTAACTAATTGTTTAGTCACAGAACATACAAAAAATATGTTTTATGATTTTTTACAATTGACGTCAGCTCTGTCGTGATGAGTGTGTTGCAAATTTCAACGAATGTTTTGTGGTTGCAAATTGTAAACAAAAGTGTGGTATAATAATTTTTAGAAAATATTAATTTTGTTTACTTTTTTAATTAAAATTTGAATATGGAACGAAGAGCAATTTGGGAGCTTGATTTAACTGATGAAGATTTTATGGAACTTCTCGAAATTGAAATGTTTCCAAGGGCTCCAAGACAGTTCAGACAAAGAGATGATCACTTCATAAAATAAAATGAAGAATTTCGACAAAGATTTAGATTATCTAAAGAAACTGTACAGTTTATAATTGAGAAAATACAAGACGCTATTATTTTTATTAGATATGAGTAAGTAACTATGAATAGAGTTAAGAGCTTCATTGTAATTTAAAATATTGTATTATAGGATTAATGTTCTAACTCCAGCAGAAAAAGTTTTACTAGCTCTGAGATATTTAGCAGAAGGATCTACTTTACATCAGTTGGGGATTTTTCAGGTAATTATATATCTTTAAAAACATTCATAACCTAAGCAATACTTTGTAAATAATTGAAACTACTATTGTGTATTATAATTATTTGTATGTTCCTTACAGGCATTCATAAGTCCACTGCAATCCAAGTAATATATAAAGTTATTACAAGTTTAGCGAGACTTCGTGGTAATTTTATTAAGATGCCAGAGTCAGAGATAGAAATTAAAAAAGTCCAGGAGGAGTTCTACAAAATTAGTCGATTTCCCAGATGTATTGGTGCACTAGACTTTACCCATGTAAGAATACAATCTCCTGGAGGAGAAAATGCAGAAATATATCGGAATAGAAAGGGGTTTTTCTCTTTAAATGTCCAGGCTCTCTGTAGAGCTGATTTAATTATTGAGGACATTGTTTGTAGATGGCCTGGGTCAGCTCATGATTCAGATATTTTTGATAACTCACGCTTAAGAGCTAGATTAGAAAATGGTGATTTTAGGAATGCTCTTATTGTTGCTGATAGTGGATATGCTGTAAGATCATATTTAATACCTCCTCTACCAAATCCTAATTTACCAGTTGAGCAGCTTTTTAATGAAAGCCAAATAAGCACTAGAAATCCTATTGAAATATGTTTTGGTGTTATTAAAAGACGATTTCCAGTATTGTTATTAGGCATTCGTCTAGATGTTCAAAAAGTAGAAGCTATTGTTGTTGCATGTTCTGTATTACATAATATAGCTCTCAGTAGAAATGAATAAGAAGTTGAAATTGATGAAAATATTGCTGCACTGATTGAAGAAGCAAATAATATTAATTTAGTTGTACCAGATTTACCTCGTTTTAACTTGAATAATTTAGTTCGACATAATTTAATATATCAATGTTTTCAGCCACTCTTATAATTTTAAGAATAGGTCTTTTGCTTTTATTTTATATTTTTAATATTGTGTAACTGTTTTTCCAAAATTTATTGTAGTAAGTTTATTTAAATTAGTTTTAGCATTAGAAAAAAAAATTAAATATTTTGATTTGTTAACAAAATCAACATATTTTCTTGTAAAATTTATTGTAAGAAATAAAACTAAATAAGTTAAGTTTAATAGTTTATTTATTTTACAAAAAAGAAATTACATTTCTTGCAAAAGTTTTTGTTTTTATAATTTTAAAATTGCCATCTGCATTTCATGATCCTCTTTTTTCATAAAGATTTTCTTTTTTTGTTTCATATCTTCAGAATGCCTTTCTTTTGTTTGTTTTATTTCTTCATCATGTTTCTCTTGATTATGCTGCATTTTTTGTTCATTTTCACGCAAAAGGCACTGCTGCTAAACACTGACAATGTTTTGCTTGGATTTTGCCCAATCTGACAATTTTGATTTTAAATTGTTGTCTGAAAATAAAATACAGAAGTCCAAATTAAAATAATTTTAATTAGAAAATTATGGCAAAAAGGTCATTAATTAAAACTGCACTTTTTTATTACCTCTTTTTCTTAAATTATTTGTAGTTAGATTGGCAGATATTGGAGTTCTCAAACTTTCTGCGTTCATCTTGGACCAGTTATTTTCTTAAAAAATATTGAAATATATAGTTACTTAAAATAATTTTTTTTTTTTTTTAAATACAATCCTATATACAGTAAAAGACTATTGTTTTAGCAGTTTTGTAACTTTTCCATACCTGTTTTAAAAACATTATTACCTAAATCATTTTCTTCTTCGTCAAATATAATTGTTAATTGCTCCGAATCACCTACATCGTCCAAAGCATTTCCAATTGTTTCGTCTTGAGGGGTATTTTCTTCAAACATATTATCTTGAGATGATGTATTGGCAATTTCATCTAAAATAAACAATATTAAAAACAATATTAGTTTATTAATTTAACTTATTTACCTAAACCGTCATTGTCAAAGTGGGACTGACTTCCTGTCATTCTTGAACCTATCAGTTCCCGGATGGTATTATCTGCTTCTGTAACAATATTATTTATGTGTGCTGGGCCTCCTCCTGTCACATACATAAATTTCTTTTCATCTGAAAACTTTTTAGTCGCCTTCTTTTTTATATTTAAATATTTATTTTTTAAAATTTGTACACTTCTGTGTGTGTCTCCTCCACTGTTGAATTCGTTGGCTATTTGTAACCACGCAGCAGCCTTTTTTTGGTTTATGTTCGAATCAGTTTTTTGTTTTCAATAATTTGAGCATACTTTTTTTACTCTTATGTACTCTTAAGGAGGTCCTTTCGCCACCAATGTTAAATAAAAAATATTAGATTATGACTAAAATTAATTTTTTTCTAATAGTTTAAAATGTGAGTATTTGTACAGTGTCTTACGAGAAAGTAAGACTTCAACAACAATTTTCGAATTATAATTAAGTATACTATTATTTATTGATTAGACAGAGTAAAAAAAACTAAAAATAAGGTTTTTGAAATATTTAGGTTTTGTTTTTACAATAAAATATATAGGTTACCGTGGAATTTATTGAGAAATTAATATTAAAAAATAACAATAAATTTTCAACTAGGTTACTTGAATTTTTTTTTTTTAATATTAATTTCTCAATAAATTCCACGGTAACCTATATATTTTATTGTAAAAAACAAAACCTAAATATTTCAAAAACCTTATTTTTAGTTTTTTTCTACTCCATCTAATCAATAAATAATAGTATAATTCGAGAATTGTTGTTGAGGTCTTACTTTCTCGTAAGACACTGTACAAAAACTCACATTTTTAAAAAAAATTCTCAAAAATTTGCACGGTAAGGTATAGTTAAAAGTTCACTATTGGATAAATAAGGACTTCAACTATTAGAAAAAAAATAAATTTTAGTCATAATCTAATATTTTTTATTTAACATTAGTGGCGAAAGGGGTTACGAAGGGACCTTCTTAATTAACTGTTCAATTATAATAAACAACCGAAAAAATAAAATATTCAAAATTCAGTGTTCAAAACAAAAATTTTAAATCGTCGGTTAACTGAACCTGCTGAGTTACAACAGAAAACGTTTTATACCGAAGATAAAGGTTAACCATTGGTCACGGAACTACCTGGTTAACTAGTCGTGTTACAACCCGCACTTAGTGATCAAGACATTGAAGAGGGGCTTGAGGTTATTGTGTTAAAACAGCGTGGTGAATCGTTTGTAAGATCAACAAAATAGGATAGGTTTAATTTGGATGATTTACCAGCAGAAGAATGTGAAACATATTTTCGTTTTCAAAAAGAAGAGTTGCTCAGGCTCTGCTTCCACCTCAAGTTTCACTACCAGCTATTAGGTGTAATGTTACAGGTACAAGTTTATATTTTGATGCAAATCAGACAATGTAAGTTTTAATTAAATTTTAATTATCCATAATTTTTATTAGTTTAAGGATCATATATTTTTAATAAAAAGTTATCCAAAACATGTTCATGTCTCTTGATTTCATAATGTCTATTTTTTAAAGTTCATTGTTTAAAAATATATTTTTTTATTAAAATTTAAAATAATTTTAGGATTAGAGGCTTTATGCATTTTATTAAGAAGGATTGCATACCCTAATAGTTTGGTTGAGTTGGAACCATTATTTGATTTGTCTGCAGAATATCTGTCAATAATATCAAATACACTCACTGAAATTATATATACCAACAAAGGAGAACTTTTATTAACAAATTTAAGAAATTTTACTTGGCTGAACAGAATAAAGTTGGAATATTATGTCATTGTATTTAGTAATACAATCAGGTGATTCCACAATTGACAAACTACAAACAAGAGAAGTATTAAACATATATGTATTGTGTAGCCGAAAAGAAGCACCTTTACAAAATTGTTGGGGATTTATAGATGGCACTGCCAGGGGAATATGCCGTCCAACCATTGATTAAAAAAATTATTTTTCTGGCATTGTATGAAATACCAGTCTATATTATGTCCTGATGGAATAGTTGCTAGTCTCATGGGACCTAACCAAGGAAGAAGACATGATGTAGATGTGTACAAAATTGAATGAATAATATTATAGTTCGAGTTGCAAGCAAATTTTATATTATAGATTAGACTTGCTTTATATTTATAAAAAAAAAAACAATTAAGTACATTGAATGAATAATTTATTGAAATTCTTAAGAAGCAGTCCCATAAAATAAAAATTTGTCCGTTTTCCTCTTTTTTTTACATTTTAACAAGTAACGAAATCTATTTTAGGAATATTTCGAGTGAGCAACATATATAATCAATTACAAGCGTGTGCTTCATTCTCAGATAAAAGGTTTGTTATATATGGTGATCCTGCTTATCCTATCCAAGAATTAATTTTGTCTCCATATCGACTGAATTCTGGTAGGCAGCTACTAGAAGCACAAGCTGTATAATGGAGATTTGGAAATATAATTGCTGAATTTGCCTTTATTGACTTAAAAAAAAATCAAAAACTTTTATTGGGAAAATGTACAAAGTTGCAGTTTATATTTTAATACAATTCATCCAACATTGGAAATGTACATCGGAGAATAAAACAATTTGTTTTATGCATTTTTGTTTTATTTTGACACATCATAAATATCTGAAACTAATGAGCTATCAAGAAAAATAATAAATGTCATTCTGTAGAAATAGCTCATAAATATGAGACTAAAATAAATAAACAGACTAAAATATAAAAACAAAGTAAAATGTAAAAACAAGTAATACAAAAATAAACCAACCTATTCTAAACTAAAATAAAATAATTCATAATAAATATTAACAGTGTTATTTTTTAAAGTTTTTTTCCAGAGAAATGTCAATATTTCTTGTTGTTTTGCTATTTTTATATTGTTTTCTGTTTCTCTATTTTCAATTTATACTCCCTTTCTGGTATTTCTATTTCTAACCTAGCTTTTCTTTCTTTTTTTTCAGTTTAAATTTTTCTGTCTAATATTAATTTCTCTTTTTCTAAATCTAACTTTCTGCTTTCCAGATGTAATTCATTTTCTTTTATTTGCCTTTTTTTCTCTTATTTTGTTTATAAATATTTAAGGGATATATTTCTCTCTACTCCACCCTTTTTTTTATGTGTGATGGCGTTGCCACTAAAATTAAAAAATATTTTTGTTTATCCTTGCTCAAACGTTTTGTAAGTAGCTTTTCATAGCAATCCTCTTTAAGGCCAAAAGTTTGTGTTGCCCTATATAATATTATATTTATTGATAGTTTTCAGCTGAAGTGTTGAATTATCTTACCTTTTGATGTTTCAGGTCTTTCATTAGTTTTCTGTAAAGTAGAGGGGTTTTCATCCTGCTCCTCTGCCACCACAATGACCTCATTTGCAATATAATCAAATTATTGATGAAAATAAACTGTCTTATTTGGATTCCTTCGTTCCTTTTTTATTATTTTTCTTCTCTACTGACTAACTTTCCTTCATTTTATCATGTATCTCCTGTAGCAGCTGCTCTTTTTCAGTATACTGTTCTTCTGCACCGGATCTGAAAATTATGTAATTATTTGTATCAAAAAAGTACAGTTAAAAAGTATGTAGGTAATAACTATTTACAGTAGATT